AATCTTCAGTATTTTTATGAATGCTGTATTCACCAAGTGCCTTTTGGCTGCGTGTAATGTAATACTGAAGAATATAAAAAAACTTTTATCACAGCACGTGGTACCTATATGTGTACATTACACACATTAGTTCAAACTAATCAATTCAGATGTATTGCTTTTATCAAGGTGTCATGCTGCAAGAGGACCCAGTAAGATGTCGACAGGGAGCTTTATACCATTAAGTCACATACCATGATATAGTGATGACATAATGAACATGTTCCTTAAAGATTTATCAAATATCCATTGCTAGGCATAACACAATATGTTGTCCAAAGCAAAAACTTTTCAAATGCCTTTCAGTAGATTCCATCTGCAGTATCAGTAGGCACCCATGTACCCACAGATTAACTGCCTCTTCAAAAAATCCATGAAACTAATCAGACTGACTGGTTCTTCATAATTCAGTGGTGATTATATCTGATCAGGGCAGACATTCCCAAATACCTGGCCAATCTGTCTCAACTCTTTGTTTTCTGATAGATTCACAAAAAATATATGAAAAAAATGTTGTGTAGTTACCAGGGTTATCCCTTACTCTCCTGAATAATGGCATGACATTTTTCAAATTTACAACCCAGAATCACAACTTTGTATTCCTGAGATCTTTGTAACATTGGCACTAATACCATTGCAATTTTTTGACCTTTTTTTAATACTCAGAGGTGGGCTTCACCAGGTGCAGGAAATTGATCTACCTTAAGTCTTGTTATTTTCTCCATTACCTGAACCAAACCTCCAAATTGAATTGCTACGAGTTCTACCTCTGATGACCTCAACACGTGGTGCAATACTTGCCAAATGGCAGACATAAGAACCACCAAATTTGGGAATGCTGGTTTCTTTCAGCAAAGTGTCACAAGCAGATCAGCTGTTATTTTCAAATAAGGTCCAATTCTGTGAAAAAGAAGCAATTTATTTTAGCCATATCTGTTCACACTTAGGCCTGCTACATCTTTGGCTACACTTTATAGGGACCCCAGCAACATCAATACTGATGTCAACACCTAATTTACTTCTTGCAAATGTCCTGACCTCAAGAATTCTGGAAGAGTGCCGAATGCTTGGGTCATCTAGTAGAGGCACTGACTAACATTGTTAAAACAGTCTTTCAAGTCGTGATGGTATACCGGCCCATAACGTCAGAGTGCTGCAATATGATTGATATTCACTTCAAGATCAGTTATATATACTGGAGAACAATTTCCACTTAAATTCATCTTTTATTTCATACCTACCCTATGAATCAGTGGAGTAAAGAGTCATAGAGTCATTTAGTATGGAAACAGACCCTTCGGTCCAACCAGTCCATGCCGACCATGTTCCCAAACTAAACTAGTCCCACCCACTTGCACTTAGCCCATATCCCTCCAAAGCTTTCCAATTCATGAACTTATCCAAATGTCTTTTAAATGTTGTAACTGTACCAGCATCCGCCACTTTCTCTGGCAGTTCATTCCCCTCATCCTTTCTAAATCTTTCTCCTCTCACTTTAAAAATAGCTTTGAACACCCCCACCCTAGGGAAAAGACTCTTGTCATTCACCTTATCTATGCCCCTCATGATTTTATAAACTTCCATAAGGTCACCCCTCTCAACCCCCTACGCTCCAGTGAAAAAAATCCCAGACTTTCCTGTCTATCTTTATATCTCAAACCCTCTATTCCTGGCAACCTCCTGGTAAATCTTTTCTGACATTTGCTGCCATACATCAGGTATAACTTTATCTGAAACTGATATAACTCAAACTGGGTAAAAGTATCTTTATCTACCAACCCATGCCAGTGGTATTGCTAACCATTCTGCAATTGCAACTTTTAATATTTTGTTTTGGCTTTCTGCACCCACATTGATGCAATTAGCACACTGCTGCTTAAGTAACACCAAATGAACTTGAACAAACATGATTTTAATAGTTGTTCTTGCTTCTGAGAAGGCCCAGGAAATAGCTCTGTCAGTTTAATTATACAACCAAAATGCCATACTTTCAGTGTAACGTACCTACAGCAGTATGAAGCATCCATCATTTGAAATAGGTTTGACAGTGACCTTTCAACATAGGATGATCTCTACATGAAAGGAAGGTTTTTAATTCATTTTCCTTTGTGTCATAGTACAGAACTTTTGAATTTACTGACACATTTATGACGGTCTTCGAAGCACTGTAAGTCACTTAATATGATGGTTTGCTAAATAAAAAAAGTCTGATGCAAAAAGAAATCAATTTGAAAAGTTGTAATTTATGGCAGGGGACACAAAGTAAAAAGATGTTAGGCATGATTGATTGCACAGAGCAACATCATTCCTCCAAACTAGATTTAATTCTTTTCTTATTTTAGAAAGAATAATTATTGAACAGTGTCTGAAATAATTCATCGAACATTCTCTTGTTGTAATCCTTTGCAGTGTAATTTGAACCCACATAGCTTGCTCACTTTATATTGTCATGAAAGAAAATATATATTTTTATGATTAGTAATTAATAAAGTAATTTCAATGTTTTTTGGGGTTGGGATAAATTCACTTTCTATTCCTAACTGGATCTCTTTTAAACTCATTGATCTTTGAAATTCATTGGCAGGTACACCCATTTGCCATCAAATAAGCACTGACCCTGTACAACAGGCGAACCTGCTCTGTACTTTCATTCCTGTAAAAATGCCAACTGCCATAATTATAAACAATAGAATCAATTTGGATTTATATGGTACCTTCTAAATAGTTTCAAGGAGTATCTTCAAAGGAAATAAGAGAGCTGGAAAAGTTTAGGGAGGGAATTTCTGAGCTGAAATGATTTAAGCAGTTAAAGGTACAGCAATAAAGTCGGGGTTGTTAAGAGGCATGATTTGAAGAAGCACTATTATCTGAGACGGTTTTAAGGTTGCAGAAGGTAACAAAGACTGGGAGGAGCGAAGTCACGGGAGGGTTTTGAAAAGTGTAGGTCAGTGAGTACAAAGATAGTGAGTGGGATTTTTTTTGCAAGAAAGGACTCAAACAATGGGGTTTTAGGTGGCCTACAGGCAATTGAGGGTGGGATATGGACACCAGCCAGAAGTATGTTGGAGTATTTGAAGATAAACTGAACAAATGCCTTGATGCGGGTAATAGTTAGCATATGTGCTGAGGCAGGGGCAAAGTTGGATGATTTATAGATGTATAAATAAAGGGTTTTATGTTAGCACAGATGAAAAATGCAGGAGACCATGCCTGGAACAACACCAGACATACTTAAAATGAGGTGACAACTTTGTGAAGCTACAAAACAGGACTACTTGCGCGTCAAACAGCAACCGATAGACAGAGCTAAGTGATCCAGGGGACCAGATTTAAGCTCTGCAATCTTGTCACATCCAGTTGTGGATGGTAGTGGACAATTAAACAACTCATTAGAGGAGGAGGCTTCACAAATATTCCCAATGTCAATCATGGGGAATCCCAGCCCGTCAGTGGAAAAGATAAGGCTGAAACACTCACAACAATCTTCATCAAGAAGTGCCGAGTAGATGTTCCATCTCCAGAGGTCTCCAGCAGATGCCAGTTATCACCCAATTCTATTCACTTCGTGTAATGTCAAGAAATTGTTGGAAGCACTGGATACTGCAAATCCTATGAGCCCTGACAATATTACAGCAATAGTATTGTAAATGTGTGCTCCAGAACTTGCTGCACTCCTAGCCAAACTTTTCCAGTACAGGTACATCACTGGTATCTAACGATAATGTGGAAAATTGCCCAAGCATGTCTTGTACATGAAAAGCAGGACAAATCCAAACCGACCAATTACTGCTCTATCAGTCTACTCTCAATCAGCAGTAAAATGATGCAAGATGCTTCATTGGTGCTATCAAATAGAACCTGCTAAGCAATAACCTGCTCAACAACAGGCAGTTGCCAACCAAATTATCAATTTTCCAGACAATTCCCTCAGATTCAGCTATGTCGGTGATTCCACAGATGCAACTCTCATTTACACTGCAGAAACAATTAACTGCCAGTCGGAAAGTCCAGGCCATTATGTCATTATATCTAGTGTGGATTAAATTGTCAGCTTTGACTAAGTAAAAGTAACAAATTTAAAAATAGCCTAGTCATCTGCCCATTTACATGCAGGAAGTGTATGTTTGCCCACATCAAACTTATCAAATGTCCCAACTGACTTGGTTCCTGTAGTGGAACTGTGTTTAGCTCATTCAAACAACAAGCTGGTAATTCCTAAATGCTTTTTTGTTTGCAAGTCCCATAACAGCGAACTTACATTTCAGTAACACATTCTAGGATAGTTCTGCCTCTGCAGCCTTCTCTTGTTTACTTTTCTCTTGGAGTAAGAAAAAGAAGGATCTTGGTGAAAAGAACTAAAGTCTTTCAAGGAGGCTATGTGCAGATAATCACAGTCAATAAAAAGAGGTGTGAAAGTCTGGATCCAAGAGGTAAGTTCCTCTACTGCATTGAATTTGAGTCAGGAGTACTTCTTCCACACAAGCCTACCTCCACATGATAGGTTGATGCCAACACCTTCCCCCTATCCCTTCCCAACAAGAGTTCCCAACCTTCGCACCCTGCCAAATGAACTCTCCCTGTAGGTTGCCACATTGACCAGATATTTCATTTTGCAGTTGCTTTCTCACCTGATAAGCAACCAGGCTGTTAATTGGAAGCCAGAGAAGTTAGCATGCTGTTAGCTATTGCAGGATGTGCATGAAATTCTTCCAGGCTTGCTGTGTGAAAACACATCCCTCTCTCCCTGTCCTTTTCCCAGCTCCAAGAAAATATTGTGGCCTAGTCTTTAATTGACTGACTCATTGATTGTGAGACATTGCTGGCATAATTACATGCTTTTGTCTGAGTTTCTTGTAAATGATGATGCAAGTTGAATTACTTTAAATTGTGTCAAATATAGATTCTCCCAGGTATTGTTTGATTAATGTTCCACCACCTGATTAAGATCTAAATCTTTGCAGAAAGATGTTGGAGGTCAGCGGAGTTTGATCAATAAGTGGACCACATTTCTGAAAGCTCGTCTAATTTGCTCAGTCCCAGGGCCTGAAGGCTATCAGACATATTTTGATGAGCTGCGTAAGTAACATGTCATTTTACTTTTTTAATGAGCATTTGTTTATTCCAAAGCCCTAAAAATAGAAGGCTGTTTATACAAAATTAACATGATACAATGTTGTAGTCTCATAAAATCTCTGTTGTGAAGGCTAATGTTTCTGATTTCATGTCAAACAAATTAAAATGCAGCATAGAGTCTGTTGGATTTCAGTCTTCATTTCTCGAGCCAAATTGAATTGATCTCAATTGAATCCTCTTTTCACTCCGCAAAGTCATATTTGTGATTCCATGACAATTTCATATGAGCAGTCATGCTTCATATACAGGCAAGGAAGACTTACCAGTATTATGAATTGAGAGAACAGCATTAATGTCTTAACATTGATAGGTATGTGGACATTTTTGGAGGTTTTCTACCAATAGCCACATCAGGCAGCTTACTGATGACTGACCTCTGGCTCTAAGTATGGTGGCATGAAGTAGGGCATAGATTCATTGCCATATCCTTCAAAACAAGATTATTGAACTCAGTCATGTTGCTATGTTGAGCTGGTGAGCATAGGCCAAACTGATCCCCAGAAGGGGAGAACTCATCAGAGGATTAATCATTCTTAGATACTGGCATAGTCTCTCATGATAATTATGGAGCAATATTCGCAGAAGTTCAACTTGTTCTACAGTGTAGATGTTGTGTAGAATGGATAAATCTAAAAGGAAAATGCCTGGGAAGAAGATAAAGACATTTTTAAGGATTTAATTTACTTTATTGTGTATATTTATATAGTAAGTACATAACACTGCTCAATTTTACTTGAAAAGGATTAATTTTCTAGACCAAAGTCTCTTACATTATATTCATTTTTTATTCTGTAAAGAGGATGTTTTTCTGTTCAACACAAATGATGACAAATTGCCAGTGATTTATGGAGTCTTCACATCCTCCAGGTAAATAAGAATATCGTTGTACGAAAGAATGGTCATTTTGATCACTCCTGTACAAATATAGAGTATTAGTATTATTTGTTCTGCCCATGCAACCTTAGTGGGTGGAACATTATAACTGCTTTGAAACAACCTTTTGCATTAAATGTTTTTTTTTCTCTGGTTTGCTTAGATTGAACATAGATGTGATTTATTACTTTTTGCCTGGAGCATTGTTCAGGCAATTCAGAACATTTGCATTTAGAGAGATAAATGTGAGAATATTTTTACTAAAAAATCACTCTTTGCCCATTTTTTGTTTAACGGAATTGATCCTTTGCAGCAGTCAAACTTTAAAGTTGAATAACACTGGAAGTCAAACTAAGGAAATTCTCTTTGAAGTACCAATAATTGAGAATGTCCGAACAACATTGCTTTTGTCTCTCAGTTCTGTTTTCAGTGGCTCAGCAGTTTGTGCATACAGTATGGCTGATATTCGTTCTGTATTTAATGGACCTTTCACACACAAAGAGAGCCCGGATCGCCACTGGGTAGAATATCAGGGGAAGATTCCTTATCCAAGACCTGGAACAGTATGTATGCTCAATCATTAACTCTTAGAAAGTATACAGTGTGATAATAGATATAATCTAACGAATTAGAATTAGAATTAGCTTTATTGTCACATGTATACTTGCATGAGTACAGTGAAAAATTTACAAGTCAACACTTATGGTGCCACTTTAAGTACGATAGTACCTAGGTACGGATTCTTAAGTACAAATTCTTAGGGAAAAAAATTAGAAACATGAAGAAATAAAAAAAACCCAGCGTTACAGATCCTAGGTATAAATTAGAAAAATAAAGAAATAAGAAGTTCAGAATGACAGTCTTTCCAACCCTGTCCACACCTAGCCTCCTGTCTGCAGCAGCACTTGACTCCAGATTGGGTCAGGCTTCACGTTGAGGGTCTTGAGGCCGGGAAACGACTGGAATCACCTTGAGGGTGGAAGTCCATGCTGGGCCACCATCATGGTGGGCCGCCAAGAGACGGCAATGCCAGGCCGGAAGACAACTGCGTCGGGCTGAGAGGTTGCCACGGCCAGCTGAGTGATCGCCGGGCCAGGTCCATGTTGAGGCCGAGAGTCGGAGTCCGTGCTGTGGATGGAAGTTCAGGACATCACCGAGAAGAAAGAACGAGAAAAAGACACAAAAAAGGGAAAAAGAAGAGGGGAAAGCAATCAAACGGACAGTGCATCCATCTTGGTCTATTGTAACAAGCAGAAGCAAGCAAAAATTATCAACCCATCTGAACTATTTCTCTGTATCTTTCCAGATGGCCCTCCCACCCAGAGGCTAATTGGATATATATTTGAAAGTGATGAATTTAGAGAGCTATAGAGATAGGGCCGGTTAATGGGACTAGCTGGGTAGCTCTGTCAGGAGCTGGTACAGAGATGATGGGTCAAATGGCCTCCTTCTGTACTATGATTGTATGATTCAATTGTGCTACTTAAATAGCCACAGAAGCTTCTTCCTGTTGGCTTTTTAATTTCTCTATATGGGAGGGCTGTGGGCTCTAGAGAAGCCCTCCTTAACAGAGCTGTCTGACCCTCTGGGGGATCACTGGCAGCAATGGGCACTCCCTCCAACCTTAAACCCATCTGTCCTACCAACACTAGCCTGTCAGGATCTGTCTGATCAACTCTGGCAACCCTCAACTACATTGCCTTTATGCAAGGGTTGGGGGAAGAGAATTAGATGTTTGGGAGGATGAGGTGGTGGAGGGGTAACATTGCTGCGTTCTCACAGCCTTGATACAGTCCCAGACGTGGCCATTGCTTCCATCAATGCTGATGGGTCTGAGGAGCTGCTAGCCTCGAATTGGCTGACAGCAGACTCGAGAGTGGTCATGCAAAGGGAGTACTGAATAAACTTAGTTAGTTGCTGGACAAGGCATAGGTTACTCCAAAAGCCCCTGGAGCAATTGCCCCTTGTTTTCGGACCCATTATCTGGGTCCTCATTGCCTCATCAGAATTTAGCTCAACCTTTTCAATAGACGCTTGAACAGTGGTCAAGAGCAGGAACTCCTCCTTGAACAGGAGCCCAATTGGCATTTCAGTGTTGCACTCAGCTCATTTTTGGTAAATGCAACTAATTAATTATCTCAAAAGCATACAATGCTTTATATTACAGAAGCATTGGTACCTTCGTTGATATTGTAATCAGCTGTAAAGATGTATTAGGAGTTAATAAAATCCATGTGTAAATTCCTGCCATTTTTTTCAGTGTCCCAGTAAAGCATTTGACTCCACAATCCAGACAACCAAGGATTTTTCAGATGATGTCGTTAGTTTCATTAAGAATCACCCAGTGATGTACAAGGCTGTGTATCCAATAAACAAGAGGCCTGTTTTCATTCAAGTGAATGTTGGTTACAAAATTACACAGATTGTTGTCGACCGTGTTACTGCCAAGGATGGCCAATATGCAGTCCTCTTTTTGGGTACAGGTACATGAAATAATCATTTGCAATAAAATGTTCTAAACATCTGTATATTCTTTCATTAATACACTTTTTCTATGTCTTTTAAAGACGTTGGAACAGTCATAAAAGCGTTGAGTGTAACCAAGGACAGTTTGAACGCTGAAGAAGTTTTACTGGAGGAATTGCAAGTATTCGAGGTACAGAAGATCAATTTGTATAACTTAATTGACAGCTGAAAAGTCTTTCCAGTGATTATAGTTAAACTAGCATGTGGGACTTTCTCTCCCTAACCAATGCCAGGAATTCATGTATGACTAATGCCAAATCCCCACCAATGACTTCAGCAGCAATAGTGGGATCTAACAGTATTGTACTTTCTTATTGAAAGCATTAATATCTGAACAACGCAGAAAATAATTATACTGACCAATGCCAACATTCTCAATACTTTTTGTACTTTCTTTGAATTGAGTCATTTTATTTACTTTTTTAAGAGATCTGTGAATTTTGCACCCATGAAGATAGATATAGATAATTTTGGGCACTATCCAATTCTGGAATTTCTGCAAAGGTTCTCCTGATGTCGTGCTGTTACTTTGATGGAAGATTAATTGAAATTACAGAGAACCTACTGTTTACTTCTGCCGTGCTGCCTATTCTGTACCAAAGTTATACTGGGAGAGTTCGAGATTTCAACAGACATTCTACACATTGATTGCTGCATCCTAGTTTGGATACATAAATCTGGAATTTCCATAGAATTTCTCTTGATTTCCAACCATTACCCTGTCCCCAGCAGATGCCTCAGACTGGCAAGGTCACTGGTCAAGAGCAGCTCCTTATGATGTTTTCTCATGGGTTTCCCCAACCCTGTGCCAAAGTCACAGCCAGGAGTTGCAGCAATTCTCCCAAATAGAGTCAGCACAGAATATTCACAAATCATAAAGTTTGTCCCTCTGCAATTATCAGAGGGATATCATCTGCTCCGACAAAGGGGGATCTTTTTCATTATCTGTTTATCAGCTGTCCAATTGCCTGTCCAGCTGAGACTGCCAAAAATCAGCAAATAACTTGACGTTGAGCAGGGCAACGAGGATTCCATAAATATTGATGCCATGAAATAAGACATGCGTTTATGATGGATAAGTAAACATTTACAAGAACAATATAGTTTAGATAGCAAGTTTAAAAACCTCGATGTTTATATATTGATATATAAATGTGCTGCATTAATCGACTTTTAACCTTATATATTTTACTTTTTCTTTCTAAAACTGGTTAAATTCGTTATAAATAACTGTTAATTTGACAAACATTCTGTTTCCAATGTTCAAAAAAAAGGTTTGTTATCTGGCTTTTAGGATTCAATTTTCCAAGTCATGCAAACTAAAAAATTGCAGGCATGTTGCCCTTCCATTTCAACTGCTGATGACTTTTTTTTGATTCACGGCATGTGGGCATCACTGGTCTGGCCAGCCTTTATTACCAATTGTTAATTGTTCTGATGAAGATGGTGGTGCGTTGCCTTCTTGAACTGTTCTAGTCCCAGGAGGGGCGGAGGAGGACCGGGGATTGGGAGGTGGGGAGACAGCAGTAGGGACTCCCAGAGTGCTGTTAAGGAGGAGTTTGAGCCAGCATCAGTGAAGGAACAGTGAAGTAAAGTTTAAAGTGGATTAGTGTGTAGCTTGGAGGGGAACTTTTTTTTTCACAGGTGTTCTTATACACTCCTGCCTTCTAGATGTAGAGGTTGCAGGTTTGGAAGGTGCTGTTGAAGATGCCTAGCTGAGTTGCTGCGATGCATGATGAAGGTGGTAAATACTGCTGCCACTGTGAAGTAGTAAACGGAATATATGTTTAATGTGATGAATGGGGTCAAGCAGACTGCTTTGTCCTGGAGAGTACATAAGTTTCTTGAATGTTGTTGGAGCACACCCATTCAGGCTAGTGCAGAGCTTTCCATCACATCTCTGACATTTGCCTTGTAGATGATGGACAGGCTATGGTGAAACAGGAAAAGAGTTACTTGCTGCAGGATTCCTAGCCTCTGATATGCTGTTGCATTTATATAGCTGGTTGGCTACCACTGAGCATAGACTAATTCAGTTTCTAATCAATGGTAGCATACACAATATTGACTGTGGGAGATTCAGCGATGGATGGTAAAACAATTGAAAGTCAACAGAAAATGTTTGGATTTTCTTCTGTTTGACATGGTATTGTGTGGTGTGCTGTGCTTGCTACTTGCAATTTATCAACCCAAGCCAGAACAAGGTCCATATCTTGTTACAAATGAACGCGGACTGCTTCACTATCAGTCTTGGATTATCACCTCTTACAAGACATTGTTTCTTAATACAAGTTTAAAAATCTTTTTCTGATTTACATATTAGTTACTCGATATAGAATCTTAAATATGCAAGGCATTAAAGCTTTATAGGATTTAGCACCTACTTTTAAAAAGACACAGTGAATATGAGATGATTGCAGAGTCCACAAAATGCTGAAATGTTACATAGAGTCAAAGAGTCATACAGCACAGAAACAGACCCTTTAATCCAATCAGTCCATGTCGACCCAGTTTCCCAAACTAAACGAGTCCCATTTCCCTGTGTTTGGCCCTATCCTTCTGAACCTTTCCTATTCATGTGCCTGCCCAAATATCGTTTAAATATTATAACTGTACATGCATTTTCCACTTCCTCTGGCAGTTCATTCCACATATGCACCGTCCTTTGCCCGAAAATGTTGCCCCTCAGATGCCTTTAAAAGCTTTCACCGCTCACCTTAAAACTATTCCCTCTAGTTTTGAATTCCCCTTCTCTAGGGAAGAGACATTTGCTATTCATTTTATCTATACCTCTCACAATTTTGCGAACTTCTGAAAGGTCACCCCTCAACCTCCTACACTCCAGGGAAAGAAGTCCTGGCCTATCTAGCCTCTCCTTATAACTCAAACCCTGTAGTCCCAGTAACATCCTTGTAAATCTTTTCTGCACTTTTTCCAATTTAATAACATCCTTCAGACTGTGAAGAAAATCAAAGCCTAGCTTAAAACGAATTAAGTTGTTTTGGCAGTGTCAAAGAAAATACTAAATGCTAATGATGCTTAAAAAATGGTTAAATGATAAAATTCAGTCTTGCAGTTCTAACTGCAGAACAGCAATAGACTCCAAAACTAATAAATTAAACCTGCCAATCCAAGAGACCTGCACCATAAAATAAATCACCCAGGAAGTATAGCTTCACAGTAGCTCCATATCCATGAGGTTGATAAATTGTTAATCCAAGTGCTTTAATGTAGCTGATGTCTTGTTGAAAAGTCACAGAACATTACACAGTCCTGGAATTTCAATCCAGCAGTTTACATGAAACTTGACAAGGGAACAATTCATGTCTGTCCCAAACAGTCTTTGAAAATTGATTCAGTGACTATTTCCACTCAGCATGAATACAAGGAATCACGGTTAGCAAACAAAGTAAGAAGTGTAGATGGGTAATTTGTTTTTTTATGCTTGATGAGAATCATTAATAGTGTTTGTAACATTATTGACAAGATTTCTAAAGTGGCATAGTTGTTAGTTCTCTTGCCTTTCAAGTTGGAAGGTTACAGTTTCAAGTCCCATTACAGTACATAAATCAAGGTTGACACTCCAAGCAAAACTGATTGGGTACTGTGCAGTTGGAGATGTCACTTCAGGTGGACATAAAAGTCCCCACAGCACTACTTTAGAGAAGAGAAATCAAGTCATTCACATTGTTCTACACAATAAGTATCCCTCAATCAACATCACAGAAATTAACTACCTGCTCATTATCATGCTGCTGTTCGTGGGAATTTGCTGTATTCAATTTGGTTGCAATATTTCCTACATAACAAAATGGCTTCACGTCATTGGCTGTGAAATGCTTTGGATGTCTTAGGGTCACAAAAAGTTCCACATAAATGCAAGTTGTTTTTTTATAAACCTTTTACTACAGGAGAGAAATTATTAAACAAATTCATACCAAATTTGTTGCTACAGTTCATGTAAATGTCATCGTGATTTTTCAATAACTATCAAGGCAAGTTATTAAGTTGTACCTAACCGCCAATATTTACATTTTAATAGGAGTCAACTCCAGTATTAACATTGGAAATATCTGCAAAACAGGTAAGCAATCTAAATAAAATACAGCAAAATTCATTTATCAATGGTTGTATTTGGATCTACAATTTCTTTTCAGTTGTCACTTTGGTTTACTGGAAATTGTTGCTCCCTATTGAGTTTTGAGAGTAATACATACTGCAATTTCATAGGCACTACACTTGCAAAACTAGAAACATCCAGTTGTAACCAGGAGTGTAATTTGGAGTGATAGTTAAAGACAATATTATCCTTCAGACAAACTATTCTTGCAAAGGAATGAGGGTTAGATTGATTCTACTTTCTCAAACACATGGTATAGGAATAAAAGACCATTCAGCCCCTCAAGCCTATTTCATCACTCATCTATGATCAAGACTGATCTTTTACCTCAATGCCATTTTTCTGCATGATCCTCATATCCCTTGATATACTTAACATCTAGAAATCCGTCAATCTCAATCTTGAATATACCCTACCACAGCCTCGACAATCAGTGGGGTAAAGAATTCCAAAGAGTCGTCACCCCCGTGATAAAAATTCCTCCTTATCTCAGTCCTAAGTAGCATAGCTCTTATTCTGTCACTGTGTCCCCTGGTGCAAGGACACCCAAAAGCCTCCTTCCCGCATTTACCTTGTACAGTTCTAAAATATGTTTGTATACTTCAATTCAATCACATCTTCATCTTCTAAAGTCCTGAATAATCAGGCTCAGTCTCCTCAATCTCTCTTTATAGACAATTCCCCATCCAAGGATCAATTTGTGAAGTTCATCACAGTCCCTCTATGACTGGTATATCCTTCTTTGGGTAAAGAAACCAAAAACTGTGAGCAATACTCAAGGTGTCCCCTTACCAAGTCTCTACATAATTGCAACAGGGTGACTTTATTCTTGTACTCAAATCTGCTTACACTACAAGCCAATACACCACCTGCCTTCCAAATTGTTTCCTAAATCTACATGTTAGTTTTCAGTCCAGTATAAACAAGGGCACCAAGGTCCTTTTAGACACTGACAGTTCCCAATCTTCTCACATGTAAGAAATACTCTAAATTCTTACTTTTCTTATCAAACCTCATAATTCTTCACATTATATTCCACTTGCCATACATTCTGGCCTACTCTTGCAGCCTGTGCAAATCCCCTTGAAGCCTTTTGCATCCCCTTCACAATTCACATTCCCATCTAAATCTCTGTCATCAGCAAACTAAGAAATATTATATTTGGTTCTCAAATTCAACGCAATGATATGGTTTGTGAATAGTTGGGCCCAAGCAGTGATTCTTGCAGTACCCAACAGCCTACCAACCTGAGAATGACCTTTTTACTCCTACATTGTTTTCTGTTGGTTTGACAATTCTCCATCCTTGCCAATACATCATCCCCAATCCCATGTACATGAACTTTGATTACTATCTTCCTGTGTGAGACCTTATGAAACCATTTCGAAAATCCAAGTACACCACATCCGCTAGGTACCCTTATCTATTCCACAAGTGTTATGGGCAGTTACCAGACAAAATTCCCCAGTGTGTTACAGTTCCAGTTGGGAAATCATTAAGCTCCCAGCTGAAGAGGGATGAATTGGCTCCCCTTCTGTACTCACATACTCACACTCACCACCTCCCACCCCACACCACCAACCCCCCACCCCCCTCGCCCCCACATTGGTTACAACACATACACAGATTAGGAATAAATAATGAGTCCAAAAAATGTTTAAGAAATATATGGATCAGTCTCAGAGTCATTCATGAAGAGTGAATAATAGAACATTGCAACCATTACGATCCTGGTAGCACTGACATTGGTCATCAATTTTGAGATTCTTGACTTTTCAGTTTGATTAAAATTCTTTTGTCTTGGTTCATTTCGAAAGTAGCTAGCTGGAAGCTCTCAGTGAGAAAGTTCCTTTTCCCTTTCTTTACCTGCAGTGCAAGCATGGTTAATGGCTGCCCTCAAAGCTAAGACCTTCACAGCATCTAAGTCCAGACACTATAACCTCAGGCCACTAACACACACAGATCACAGTTAAATATTGTTTTTAACTCCTTTTTTTATATATCCCTGGAAGGATGAAACACAAACATGTCTGCAGAAGATACCTCCTGCTAAGAGAGGTTTGGGCAGTCAGCTTCCCATTATCTCTTCCTGCTTAGTCTTTCCATTTGAAATTTACTGATTCTGTATTGGTGTGGCATTCCAAATTTTTCTTTATGCAGTCACTGAAATTTCATCCGCAGTTATCTCAGCCGTATCAGTCCTCTTCTTAAAACAAAACACACTTTGGAAATAAAGTTTGATGAGTCCCTACAGGTTGGGAAATATGTGGCCAGAATATCCAAGGTATGGCAATCTCTTGTAGACTGCAACTCCAACCCATTTTTTTCACAAAAGGAGAGGACTCCGCTTTCTGACAAGAAATTCAGATTAGAAATATGGAGCCATACTTCCATCTGATTTGTCATTCCAGTGGCTTCACCACTGCCCGATTGGCTTATGTTTCAGCAGTCCTTCATGAAAAGGTGCAACATGAACCCTTGCTACCTCTCTAGTGACATAAGAGCTCCTGACACCTCAAAAATATTCCACCCTTGGTCACAGCATCTCTGGCAATGAAGTGAAACAAAACAGCTATTTTCCACTCCAGGTTGCTCTCCAACGACCTCTGCTGGAAGCTTGTTGTGTTAACAGAAAGGCTGGGATATGGTGAATTTAAAGAAAGCACCAACACTTAAGTGGTATTCCGGCCGTTTGTGGAACTATAATGTGACATTTGTCACTACGTTTATTACAAGAGAGGTGCGGAAAATAAAACCTGTAAAAGAAAATTCTGAATAAGAGTTATTGCAGACAAAGATGGTTACATTTTCTGGACAAATTTAGTTAGCACAAAAACTGAATGACTTCGTAATATCTCCTGTCGACAGCCTTGAGAACATTGAAATGGCTTGAGCTTCACCAGAAAAGTAATGCAAATAATCCTTATAGTGTATGGGATGATTTACAACTTGAGATATATGAAGAGAAGGAACTTGTTTGCATTAAACATTATTGCAACAGTATTTCTTTAAATTAGTTCACTAAAGACTTTAACAATACTAGGATTTTCACTTTGGACAAAGCCATATACATCTTCCCATATGTAAAACAGGTCTAGGAATATAAATTTTATCAATAGTCTTGCTTTGTGACTTGTTTGTAGTCTAAGAATATGAAAGGCCAACTGGGATTTGTTCTCTACCAAATTGAGATGGCTTTACATTCAGTTGGTTCAATATTATTTGAGGAATGCAGATTTTATTCCTTCAAAATCTGCTGATTATAATTTATAATTCAAGATTTATAATTATTTATTATTTATTATTTATAATTAATAATTGAAGAAAGAGCATCCTCACTACCAATCTTGTTCCATTTCAAAGTTCTGGTTTAGGATTCATGTTTTGTAGCAACATTATAACTGCTTCATCCTTTAGCTTGTGTTTGTGTGCTGTATGCCTTTTTGTTTGTTAAGAGTAGAAAGTCTGGACTGTGTAACCTATGATAACTTTCTTCATCTACACAGCCAATGCTGATTCTCTTAATTCACTTGAAGTATTTTCTAAGACTTGTTAATTCAAGTGTAGTCAATCTTCATTATTAGCATAAAGAACAACACGGGAATATCTTGAATCAGATAATTTTGTTGCTTCTTTATACACTTAGCAATTCCATTATCTTATTCACTCCTCACATACCATCCTATCCTTCCTATACCATGCCATTTCTTCTCTCCATCTCATAATATCCCAATACTGCTCTTGCCATCCTAAACCCTCATCAATCTTATCCCATCCTTCACAGGAACAATTTCTCCAAGCAGGGCAATTTTGTCATTGGGTTCTGCTTGCCTTCCTGTTTTTGGTTTCCAACCCCCATCCCAATTACTGTAACCTTCTAGGTGCCCATGTGCTTCAGTGTGCACTGGCACCACACACCAAATGAACCATCCACAGAAGCAGTCTTTAAACTTACCAAATACATTGACAGACAAAAACTGAGTATTCTTGTCGTATATTGCGTGCAATGTACTGAGAGTGTTGAACCCTTAACAGACCCTGTAATTGAGCTTCTTTAATATTACTTACAGAAGCAGATTTATGCTGGATCAAAGGATGGCGTCGTGCAACTTGCTCTGCAGAGGTGTGGAGCATATGGCACAGCTTGCTCAGAATGCTGCCTTGCTCGAGATCCCTACTGTGCATGGGATGGGAATTCATGTTGCAGATATGTGCCAGCACCAAAAAGGTAAGTGCTAATAAAGTTAGTGTAGTTTCTGTTGAGGTGTAATGTTTTGTAGACATTTATAGATGTTGTGCTTCACTATAAATAGTTAAAAGTATTTTTTTCTGTAATATAATAGGACCTGCTTGTAATGTTGTAGAATTAGAATCAGGAGGCATGCTAAACCAGGAAAGAATTTTGATTTGTGGAACACTGTTCTAAGTGTATTCATGTAGATTCCACTTGCTGAGTATTGAAAGCCAAATGTTTTAAGTTTTGCAATATTGATAGAAACAGATCAGAGAAAAGATGCATTGACCATATAGTATAAATGATTACAAAAAAAAACATTATTTTGCTATCACTGGGGATAGGCATAAAATGCTGGCCTAGACAGTAATGCCTATGACCTACAAATGAATACCAGTGAACCAGGCAATGAAAAGAGAAAGAGATCCACAAATGCCAAAAATCTAAAATATAAATTAAGAATAGAAATCCATGGTAACAGTCCAAAGAGAAATGATAACCTCCATCTTTATAAACACCATTGGCAGATCTGGAAATTTCTATCATTGTAGCGAGAAGGACAATGTCAACTGAAATTTCATCAGCTCAGGTCAGCAAACTCAAGTTACCGGCACTTCTGACTGTTATATCTGGGTTTTCCTGGTTTGGTGGCAGCCTGGCAAGTAAAAATGGAGCAGGACTCCTCCAATGGAAAAAGTTTGTCAATCCCAAACAAACTGGCCTTGACTATTTCCCTCCCATGATCTCACACAAAACAATTGAAGGAGTGGATTTACTAATCCACGTATAGACTTCCCAATTATTTCTTCATGCTTTCTATCCCCTGCAAATTATTTCCGCAAAAATGATGGTTATTACTGAGTTGGTACAGTGCAAGAAGAGATTGACAAATTGAAAGATCATCCAGAAGGATGGTTTTGTCTGGAGTCACTTCCATCACTTAGAATCCATTGTATATTTGCTAATACTGACACTTTGTGAAAGCTGTTGGGATTTTAAGATAGGTTGTGATTGTTGACATCCTGGGCTTCCCTCTGGGAATTCTATTGTTCATGCATTTTGTGGAAGTGAATGATGAGGACATAGAAGAGGAAAGGGTGGAAGCCATTAGAGTGTGTGGCAACTTGGACAGTAGATATATAGGAAAGTAAGGTGTTGGCAGTATTGAAAGGGATGATGGGCTACAATGTCAAGTATCACTCCCTTTGTAGCAATTTTTAGCCAATTGCACTAGCACCAGCATTTGTATTTAGCTCTGCCATCCTTGTTTACACATTATACGTGGTCTTCAGCCAACATTGTACAAGTACACAGCCTTAATAGTTCACTAGCAATATCTGTGTGGACTCATATAAATACAAAAGATTTTGTTGCTATTTAATTCTAATGACTAAAATGTGTTTACTTTTCAATTAGACAGATCAGACGTCAAGATGTAAAGCATGGAGACCCAATAATTCAGTGTTGGGATCAGGAGGACTGTGAGTATACAAACATTAATATGGCAATTACCGCACACTGAATTCTTCATCAGCTGAATTTTTTCTTTTATTCACTGTTTATGGAGACAGTTCCGGCCAAACCAAGCTAACATTTTAACTTGTAACTGATTTCTGTGTGGGGTGAAAATTCACAAAAGTCCTGCAGAAGTTAAGTGGGCTGAATAATTTATGGCTCTTAATTAAAGCTAACTTCTGTCAGGATTATTTCCCTGATAGCTTCTATCTGCTGACATCAAGCTAGCCAATTCCACAAATGCTCAATTTTGGGTTTGTAAGATTTAGATAACCATCCCATTGGGGAAGAAGCTGCCTCAGAATGTTTTCCTCCTCCAAACTGCCTGCTTGATTTTAATAAAAGTTTGCTACACCATAAACTTACATCCATGTAGATGGGTGGGTCAATAAATTTGCAGACAATACAAAGATCAGTGGAGTTGTGGGTAGTGTAAAAGGTTGTCAAAGGATACAGCGGGATATAGATCAGTTGCAGATATGGGCGGAGAAATGGCAGATGGAATTTAAGTATGTATGAGGTGCTGCACTTTGGGAGATCAAATGTTAAGGAAAAGTATACAATTAATGGCAGGACTCTGAACAGCATGGATATACGGAAGGATCTTGGGATTCAAGCCCGCAGCTCCCTGAAAGTAGCCATGCAAGTAGTCAGGGTGGTAAAGAAGATGTATGGCATGCTTGCCTTTATCGATCAGGGAACTGAGCACAAGAGTCAGGATGTCATGTTGCAGCTTTATAAGACTTTGGTGAGGCCGCTGTTAGAGTATTATATTCAATTCTGGTCGCCACATTACAGCAAGGATGTGGAGGCTTTGGAGAAGATGCAGAAAAGGTTTACCAGGATGCTGCCTGGATTAGAAGGTATGAGCTATAAGGAGAGGCTAGAAAGACTCAAGTTGTTTTCTCTTGAGCGGCGGAGACTGACGGGAGTCTTAGTAGAAGTCTATAAAATTATGAGATGCATAAATAGGGTTGACAGTCAGAATTTTTTTCCCACAGTTGGGATGTCTAATACTAGGGGACATGCATTTAAGGTTAGGGTGGAAAAGTTCAAAGGAGACGTGAGGAGCTTGTTTTTTACACAGAGAGTGGTAGGAGTCTGGAAAGCACTGCCAGGGGTGGTGGTGGAGCCACATACAACAGGGGCATTTAGGGACCTTTAGATAAGCACATGAATCAGCAAGGAATGTAGGGATATGGACCAAGGGCAGGCAGAAGGGATTAGTTGCATTTGGTGCCATGTTTGGCACAACATTGTGGGCCGAAGGGCCCATTACTGTGTGTAATGTGCTATGTTCTATAAATGACCCAGATATTTCAACTAGGAAGATTTAAGAACAGCTAAGAAAAAAAAGAATAGAATATATATTAACATTTAAAGTAAAACTTTACTTTAAAACCCCAAGCAAGTAAGGTTTCCTCTCCTGATGGAAGAAAATCTCTTTTGAGAAGTATTATCTGATGGTTTCTAATAGCATTGAAATTTCAGTGGCAGGGTCTCAATTTTAAATTATTTGCACCCTCCTTCTTTGCCAATACATTGTTAACACTCTATATTGGTTGCTCCCACTTTCACATGATGCTGTATCATTTAATATTATGCATTGATGATTCCTTTATGAAGTTGTGAGATTTTATCTAGTCAATTTATTTGTGATGTTTTATACTTCTATCTGGACTTTCTCTTCACCTCTCCCTTATATTTTCAATCTTAAAAGAATCTTTTATTAAAAATTTATCTGAAAAGATATTTAATTTCCCAGTATTTGTGAGTGATGTCCTATGCAGGTTTCTCATGGGTTTTCCTGTGTTGAGGATCTTTGCCATTATATCTACTGGATTGCTCCAGTACATCTCTGGTTAACTAATACTTTACTTTCACACTAGGTGCAATGTTGCCAAGTGTTTTTGCAGGGCTTCTTTTTGGTGATTAAATTACTGTTTATATCATTTTGACATCTGTGCTCAGTACTGTATAAATTAATAGCATGTGCAGTCTACCTAATTAATTATTTTCATTCCTCAATCAAACCTATATTTCCAAATAGATAATCTTACAAGCTTACTGCCCACCATAGCCTGACTCACAGTAAGCTTGCTTCACAAAGCCAACGCCTATGAAAGCAGATAGATAAATTTGGGATCTAAGAAAGATCATGGATTTGGGAGAATGGGGGAATCCAGTGGTGGCCCAAGGCATCCAGTTCATGGGCAGCAGAGAAATCCACTGGTGGTCACATCCCGTTTTCAGACTAAGGTGCCTTGGAGATTCAGAGCTCTTGAGCATGGAGGGATGAATAAGATATTGCTTCAGCAGTTGCCAATCATGGGGTTAAGGTTGGGAAGTCTTATTGTGCTCGGGATGGGAGGTTTGACCAGAAAGAGTATACTAGGAGGATTTATTGAATTAGCTTGTTGAGGCTGGAGGAAACATCCCTGTTCTTAGCCCTAAAAGAGTAATTACTAACCAGTAGATTCAGCACATCATGCCTCCAGCAGGGTGTTTTACCTGATGCAGCAATGTTTATGTTACCTCTCATAACATAAGAAACTGGGTATATTTGAAGAATTCAGCAAACATTAATTACACCTAACTATTAATACATTATACAATGTATAAATATTGCATTCTTCATGCACATGTGTATGGGGTAATAATAGTAAGCTATTAATTAATGATGCCATGCAGCCTAATTATAATATTTAAATGACCAATCCACTTCCCTGAATGTGTTGATCACAAATACCTTCTCATACCTCTGTTAAAACATGAAGTTGAGTGAATGCAAAGCCTTCTTGGTCCAGACATCCTGTGTTTTAACCTCTGACATGGCTGTAACCTACCTGTTTTTGGAAGTTAATGTTCAACCCAGTGTTCTTTTGTTGATGTTTTGGCACATACTCTGCATGGGCATGGAATAATTTAAATTTTTTTTGCAAAAACTAATGATTTAAAACGTAGACCAATAAAGGCCTGGAAACTGCATAGAACACCTTGGGCTATGACATGGAATGCGTATTATAAATATCATGTCTAATTGCAATTGTATTGAGGCACAAAGTGGAATATGCTGTGTGGGGAAAAAATAATAATTTTATTGTACTTTCTCTAATGTCCAATTTGAAATGCTACAGAATGCCCTTTTACACATTTTACGACCAAAGTATAATTTGGAGAAAAAAATTAATCAGCATTTTTTACAGCATCTGTTTTTATTTTGAACCTGGAATGTTTTAAACATGTGTTGTTCAATTTGTTCTGCCTTTGCTGGTATTTATGAGAATGAAATTATCATCCATTATGATTTTTTTTCTTGCTAATTCCCATAATAAACATTTATTACATAGATGCAAATAATGTACTAACCGAAAAGAAGTTAGTTTTTGGAGTGCAATATAATTCAACATTTCTGGAATGCAGTCCAAGGTCACAGCAAACATCAGTCATTTGGTCTGTTCAGCGATCACTCAATGGCCAACAGGAAGAGGTAATGAATCTGAATGTTGCATTCTAACACTGAAAATCATTGGAGTTGCGTAATAAATCTTTCAGATATATTTCATGGGACTTGTTTGATTTTCAATCAGACAATGAGTATGTTGACATATACTTTCACATTCTTTCCACAATTAAATCATGTTAACATTTCCATGATTGAAATGAAATATTCAGTTCGTGGACAGTTTTCTAACACTCATGGAGCTTGTTAAGTGTGGAAATATTAAAAATGCCTAAAGCACCATCATGTTAGCAAAACAGTGTCATTTCTAGCAAAATAGTACATTCATGTGCTGCAGATGCATGTCACTGCTTTAGTGTTAGCATATGATGTTGATAGAAAATTGAATATCAATCATTTGTGGACTCATTGGGATGGTTTTACTGCAAATTAAAGGTATATTGACTTTAAAAATCAATTTGATCTATCTGTAAAGAGACATCTGGACCTTCAACCTCTTAAAAGGCTATAGAGTTTACTGAAATGAATACTTTCTTGTTCATTGTTCCAACAATATATTTTCTGTTTTCTATTGTCATCACATGTTTTCATTTTAACCCTGGAAATAGTCTTGATCAGAGTTTTTTTCCATGTCAAATTGGTAATATCTCATTCTTTTAAAGGGGACCTAACACATCTTGTTTTAAAACCAAGCTTATTTTAATGTTTCTAACTTTGAAGAATCAACACTAATCCATGGATTTTGGTCCGTATTCCTGCTCCCATTGGCCAGACAGGAACATGAAAAAAAATTACTTTGCATGTTGTTGCCATCCGAGGAGCTGTTAACAAATCTTAAGCCTTCTAATATCCAGTTGAGGTTCTCTAAAAGATGTGCAAATTCTACTTTAAAATTTAAGAGGCTGACAGTTTTACTCAATCCACTTGCAATGCCTAAAAAGGCCCAAAATTAGGCAGCAGTTTGTGCAGATTGGTCACAGGGTATCCCACTGTGAGATAGGTATGCTCTCTAAATATTTTGAGTCTGGAAAATGGCCACAATCCATATCAATTTACTCCATATGTTTAAATGCAGCCTGATTCTTACTGCTCATAAATGGTTTTTCTAAAATTTGCATCAGCTCCTTTATTCATTTAGGGGATGAGGGTGTCGCTGGCTAAGCCAGCATTTATTGTCCATCCCTAATTGTCCAGAGGGCAGTTATGAGTCAACCATATTAATTGACATCTCTGGTCATTTTTTGTGAGCAAACAACAATTATATTTTTTGAGAACAGATGATTTGTCAATCTACTCTATATCAATATTATTGAGTGGATGGGGTCTTTACAGGCATAGTGAGGGATAACTTTTTACATTATAAATATCATTACGAAAAATATTTCCAATAGATTTCTGCAGTTCATGATTATATTAGAACTTTATTCACATCCAAAATTTAAGATTGCATAACAGCTTTTACAAAACTGAATATAATCAAGTTTTACCACTTGAATTGACACAGCTGCTATGCTTAATTATCAATATGTTATTAACAAGCAAATGGAATAAGTGGCAATGGTGGGAAACCTGATGTTAGAAATTAAACTCATGATCTGAAGTAATATTAAGTTGTAAGGGATTCTACGAAATGTTATTTTCTAGATGAGAAATTTCACTTTATTACTGAATTAGCATAGAGTTTGTGATTCACATTGTTTGCATTGGTTTTGGCAAACTAGCCTTTGTTTTGACTCCAGCTAAACAAAGTATGACAATCAATCATTTTAGCAAAATCATTGTTGAGGCAATCTTCTAAAAATGATTTTCTCATTGAATTTTGTTGCTGAAATTAATTTCAAATTTCTATAGCTTAAATATAGGTATGTGAATGCAAGAGGAAAATATTCCATAATTGTGTTTTCTTAGGAGCACAAGTATTCACAAAACAAAGGATCTAATTTTTAAAAATATGATAAATGTGCATTCATTAAATTATCATAATATTATAATTGGATCTTTAAGAATCTACAGGTATATCTTACTCTATATGTCTATATTTTGTTTTTATGCAGATAAAATATGATTCCAGAATAATCAAAACAAGACTTGGTCTACTCATACGTCACTTGCAGGAAGATGATGCTGGGATTTATTATTGCAGAGCCGTGGAAAATACATTCACACAAATCATTACAAAATTCCACCTTAAAATTATACTCAGTGACTTCAAGGCAACATCGATGAAAGCAGGGTTCAATGAGGGAAAGGGCAGAGATAGTCGGAACAGGACCAGGCTACGTTACAAGGATTTTCTGCAGCTCCTGAACAAACCAGGCATTACTGTGAATGAGTACTGCCAGCAAATCTGGCGTAATGGAAAGAGAGGACAAAATAGCAAAACTTCAGCAAAATGGAAAAATGCACCAGAGTTTAAGCGGTATTAGACTTTGGGCAATATAAAATGCATTGTGGTGCTCCTTTGAGGAAATATAGTAACAGAATTTATTCACTGGATTTTTGTAACAGAATGTTGGCTGAATAATCTAACTGTCTCTGATGTGAAGACTAAATGGATGAAATGGAACCTGGTCGTAAAAGCTAAAACAAAATGTAATGTGAAGAATGAGTGTATCTGGATGTATTCTAATCATTAGAACTACAAGTTTCTTAAAGGCACAGTTTGCTTTAAAAGCAAATATTACTATATAGGCAATTACTTTTCATTAGTTTGGGAAAAATGTAAACAGATTCTCATAGCTTTGATAAGGTCAGTAAATTAATCTTATTGTGGCAGTGTGGATTGAATTTCTGCCCAATACTCCCAATCAAAGCATTATCAACAACTTCATAAGATGGTACCAACAGTGTGTTGATTCACATTTTCTCAGTTTAATTTGGCTCAAAAGAATTGTGAAGTAACAGCCCCTGCTGCTCACATCACTACCAGCTGTCCAAAAACTATTTACATCCTTTAGAGTGGATCTGGTGTCTGACCCAGTATGGCACCTCTATAACATATCTGTAATACGTTAGTAATATATAAGTCTTCAATCAATCAGATTGAATAGGAAAGATTTGGAGGAATATGGGCTAAACGCAGGCAAGTGGGACTAGTTTGGTTTGGGAACATGGTTAGTGTGGAATAGTTGGAATGAAGGGTCTGTTTCCATGCCGTATGACTCCCTGACCCCACAATAAGTTGACAATTACCTGTCAAGCACTGAAGACGTTCTTTGAGAAGGAGTACTGTGAGCAATAGCCGCTCACCTGGCCATCACAGCAACTCGTCATTTTTTAGTGATCAATGGCTTTTCAGTCCCCTGTCATTTTCACCAAAGTGGCATTCCCTACTGTGCACTTGGTTTGGTGAGTGATGAGTTGCTAACTGCTCAGGAAATAGGTCAATTGGCCTTTAAAGGCAGAATCCTTGCTTAAAACACAAGTTACTGAGGTATTTAAATATTTAAGTGACTTACCCAACAGCTTCACATGGAAATTCTCTGCCATTTTCAGCCATGTCCAGGAGAAACCTAGAACTGGGAGGGGATCTTGACCCAATGCCATTTTCAGAAGTCATATTCAGACCACCTCACCTTGTCTAGAAAAGTTCACCTGTAAATTAGATATAAATCACAGACAGAAAACAAAGCAAAGATTTGGATAGGCAGGCAAGGAAGAGATAAACGATGCACAGGAAGTATATCATCAACACCAATTATTATCTGGAGAAATGAGATTCCAATTTATGAAAATAAGCTTTTAGAGTCAGCAAGGCTGTTTGGCAGAAATTATCACTTATCATGCCATTAAAAATATACATATTCCTGAATACACCATCCCTAAATGTTTTGGATATTTTTAGAGGTGAATTAGTGGACAAACGGATCAATTTTAAACTGTTGCCTTGATATCAGTGCAAAGTTGTTTTAGCACTTCTGTGGACCACAAGGATATCTCTAAAAGTGACTTCTGTATTTTGCATTGAAATACTTTTAAACAGCCTTTCATAGCAGGCTTTGAAAATTGCTGTCCGATTTACTTCATTATAATAGTCAGTACAATTAGCCTCATGGTTGCTATCTATACAAAATTCTGGTCAATATACACATGATTTTGCTGATGGGGAGGAAGGATGGTGTAACTGGTTTAAGAATTGTAAATGTATCCTTTCATGTGTATTATTAAATTATACCCTGTAAAGGATTAGAACATTTTGTATTACATTTTTAAAATCATAAATTATGCATACCTCATATTTAGATGATAAGATAAACCTTCATGGATATAAATGTTATCACCTGAAGCTACTACTTAAGTAGATTTTAACATATTACTCCTATGTGTGCAAAAATTAAATGTATACCTGGCTGGTATATCACATGTACCATGTTATGCATACACAGCCTCCATTGAATAATCTAGCTATTTCTTCATAACATATTCACAATTAATTTTATACACCTTACACTGCTGCTATGAAATGAATTAGGTTTAGGTGATGTAAAATTGTACATAATAGAGAAACTAAATACCTTACGATCTGGAGCTAAGTATTTTCCTTCCAGGTGAAAGAGGGCATTCCAAGTGACTTCATAAAATTTTCTCTGTCAATTTGTTGCAATGTGGTTCTTCTCTAAGATTTTTGATTAGCCCTTGGATAAATATGCCAGGATACTGATATTTCTTATCAGCTTGCATCTTGGAATGTCTAAAACATGACCTTGTTTCATGTGAACTTGCCTTAAACATTGGTACCTTTTGTATTAACTGAGGTTGCACTAAAAGTCCATAATTATCCTTCAGTGTTAAATGGGTGTGAAACATTCCTGCTGATTTTGCATACTAAAAATAACAATTGTACTTCAGTGTTGTTATGACACAGGGACAGGCAGCTGAAACAAATCAGCCTTTCCACCTCTCGATTTGAAATACAGTGTCATTAAACTTTAAAAAACCCCAATAGTAACTCCAATGGTTCCTAATAAGACTTTTGAATAAGCAATCCCAGACTTTGTGAATAATTCATTTCCATTTTCTATCTTAAACAAAGTCTTAACTATTTATTAAATACACAATAACTTTAGCAGAGAGAAATTTAAACAACAGTAAACTAATTAATGTCTATGCTATAAACCTATAACATTTGTTCTCAGCTCTCATTCACATAAAAAGCAAGCAAACAGTTAATGGATAACTAAAAGCAACAAAATTGACCAGATAACTTAAATGGTTTTTATAATGCATTGTTTCACAGGGATAGATGGGGATCCTTGGTTCCAATTCCGGAACTGCCGATTAGAGTCACCTTCTCAGTTTACCCAGGCAAAGGCAGTAACACTGCCAACTCAGCTTTCTACTCTTTGGACTTCTGGAAACTGGTATGAGAGATTTTGCAAGGAGCTTTCATATCTTGATGGTGTGTTGTCAGCAGTCAAGCTCACCTCTGTGGAAACACAATTCAAAAAAACAGTTCTGGTTACATCCTGATAGACTGATCATCTCTTCCTGAGGCCTCAATTACCACTCAACATCTACCATTACCTTGAACATAGGGCCTCTTCCAGACTTACCAGAACCAATTCGCAGGTACTGACCTAGTTAATAGCCAAATTCTGCTATCTGTATAAACACAACGCTATCCCCAGGTTTGCTGGATCTACTGCTGGATCTGAATCTTTTTAATCAAGAATTAGCCGCAATTAGCCTCCAGCCCTGGCCTTGCAAACAAACAAAGCATGTTTGATTTGTTCTTTTCCTTTTAGCACAAGCTGTCCCAAAGTACAAAATCATCTTGAACTCGCAGCTCCCAGTTCACAATTCCAAAACAAAATTGAAGAAGAAAATGAAAAATCAGTGAAGGTTTTAACAGCATTCAATAGATGTGAAATAGATACTGATTTAAAATACTGATTTCATAAAATATGCTGTTTACCTTTTCTACAGTCATTGTGTCTACCTTTTTGCATTTTGTTCAGTTTTTGGTTTTACTTTCAGTGAATTGTAGAGCATCATTCACAATTTAAAAGTTTTTTTTTGTTTATTTGTTTGAGCAACATGTGAATGATGGCAAAGGCACTAAAATCCTGTGCCCAGAGGCACCAAACAAATGTAGTGGCACTGGTAAAATTCAGTACAACATGAAACCACATGCTTGTTTTCTTGTTGACAAAAGACACACTTTGTCAAAGCTTTTCATCTTGTATTCATCAGATCATTTTACAACAATATAAATTCAAGGGGAAAAACGAACATTTGTATTGCAAGAGAGTGCAGCTTGGTTGGCAAGTGGACTCCGAGTGGTACTGAAGTTGATTCAAAGTGGACACAAAACGTTAGCTCTGTTTCACATCCTGCTGCCAGACATAGAGTCATAGAGTTGTACAGCATGGAAACAGACCCTTGGTCCAACTCGTCGATGACAACCAGATATCCTAAACTAATCTAGTCCCATTTGCCAACATTTGGTCCATATTCCCCTAAACTGTTCCTATTCATATACACATTCAGATGCCTTTTAAATGTTGTAATTGTACCAGCCTCCACTACTTCCTCTCGCAGCCCATTCCATACACGCATCACCCTCTGTGTGAAAAGGTTGCCCTTAGGTCCCTTTTAAATCTTTTTCCTCTCACCTTAAACCTATGCCCTCTAGTTTTGGATTCCCCCACCCCAGGGAAATGACTTTGGCTATTCACCTTATCCATGCCCCTCATGATTTTATAAACCTCAATAAAGTCACCACTCTGCCTCCAATTCTCCAGGGAAAAGCCCCAGCCTATTCAGCCTCTCCCTATAGCTCAAACCCTCCAACCCTGGCAACATCCTTGTAAATCTTTTCTGAACCCTTTCAAGTTTCACAACATCCTTCCTATAGGAGAGAGACCAGAATTGCACACAATATTCCAAAAGTGGCCTAACCAAAGTCCTATACAGCTACAGCATGACCTTCCAACTCCTCTATGCAATGCATTGACCATGAGGGCAAGCATACTGAACTTCTTCTTCACTATCCTTTTTACCTGCAATTCCACTTTCAAGGAACTATGAACTTGCACTCCAAGGTCTCTTTGTTCAGCAACACTCTCCAGGATCTTACCATTAAGTGTACGTACTGAGTTTCTTCAACATTCTCTGTGTTTGTTTCATAAGAACCTAACCTCCGGCTCTGACAATATCATTCTTACGACAAAACAAAACATAATGAGACTTGGCTTTGAAATGAAACAGAATCTTACATTTTAAATTAAGTTTGTAATATCATTGCTGACTTGTGAAGTATCACCATCAATAATATAACATTGTGTTATTTCTAATCCATGCTGAATAATCAAGATTGTGCCTACATATGTCTAGAGAGAGTCTTATCTGCCTACAAAGAAGATCTCAGATCCATCATCATTATCAATTTGATAAGATCTGAATGTTCTAATCTCATAACATTCAACTTAAAGTAGAAACATTTCTTTAGAGTGAAAATTTGACTTCCACTATTTATAATTCATGTGGTGTTAAAAAGAAGTCACAGGCAAAAGTGATAATAGATCTCCTCTCACTCAGCACAGTGACCCTGACACAAACTGTGGCACTCCTCCCAATATGTAGATTGAAACCAGTTGACATTGCACGAAGGAGATCGGACATTGAACCTTTTTGCATGTTCCTTGGGCACACAGCTTGCATATAGATGTAATGTGCCTACTTTGCAAGACTTAAAGTTCCTTCAGTAATTCAAACTTAGACACGATTGCACATTACCAAAGAAAGAACTTTGAAATAAGTACATAGATTCCAAAAACAGCAATGAGATAAGTTTTTTTTTTAATGGTGGTGCTGGTTGAGAGACAAGAACTGACCAGGACTGTTCTTCTTAGCATTCTGCCACGGGATTCCTGATATTAGCCCAAAGTTATTGATGGGGCAATATTTTAATATTTCTACTATAAGAAAGCATCATAGAATCATAGAAAGGTTTAGGACAAGAGGCCATTTAGCCCTATTCCATCTGTGATAGCTATCTGTAAATCAATGTAGCTACATTGACTTTCCTCCCCAACCCTCCCCCACAACATGGACATTTTATTTCTCTTTCTGCTAATCCAATACTCTTTGAAAGCTACATAAGCAATCCTACAACCACCTTTTCAGATTATTGCAATCCAAATCCTAACCATTTGCTGTGTAAAAAAAGTTTTCCTCATGTCACCTTTTGTTCTTTAACCTTTTGTTTCTTCTGGTTTTCAATTCTTCCACCAATGGGAACAATTTCTCTTTATCTTATCTGTCGAGAACCCTCATGATTTTAAACAATTCCATCAGATCTCCTCATCTTCTCTTCACTGGGGAGGACAACCACGCCATTTCCAACCTCACTACATAATAATAGCCCCTTCATCATTGTAAAAATGCTTGTACATTATTTCCACCTCCTTTTTAAAACTTTCACATCTTCCCCAAAAATGTGTGGGCCAAATTAGTGCTTTGTAAATGCTCATCATAAATTCCTTCCTTTATCCTCTGTGGCTGGAAATTTTCAAAGTGACAGGTAGTCCCTGTGTGGTGGTTGATGCTAGTAAAATGCAGCAGGGCAGTAAGTACCCTTATTTGGTACACCTTTCCATCACTGAGGGTCCCGCTAGTGGCAATGTCCCACAATCTCAGGAAACTATTCTGCCATTTTCTGGGACCCCCGTCCCTCAGTCCATCTTCTTTAAAGTGTCTTCTAATATAGCCCAGGAGCCATCATGCCATCTTAACTCACCTATGCCAAAGATAACCACAAAAAATCCACACATGTGAAGATGGTGAGTTTATGAACCTATGACTCCAGCAACATCAGCCAGTCACTTGTATGTGCCTGCATATGTATGGATGTTGTCAACACAAACGAACTTTTGACACATGAGTGTGATGATATCTTTGGAGTTCGTGATCTTTGTTTCCTTTCAAATCTATTAAGTTTTTTCATTAAATAAACCAGAGCTGGCCTTGTAAAAGCTCTAGGTTTTGATCGACAAAAATAATATTTTAACTTAAATATTAACATAACATCAAAACCTTCCTGCCTGATGAAATTTGCATATGAGACAAGAGTATACATCAAACACTAGTAATTCCACTCAATGCAAGTTTAAGAAAATCTTTGGTTGTTTTTGATGTCCAATGAAATTGAATCTCTGCTCTCTTCTTGTAAATTACTCCATAAC